AACTATACACCCTTCTTCGTAAGGCGTATAAGTGGCGTTGTAATTTTTGAGAAATCCTGAATGAACTCCCTGTAATAATCGGTCAAACCTAAGAAACTACGAATCTCTGTCTCTGTCTTTGACGACTCCCAGTCAAGTACTACCTCTATCTTCGCTGGATCTACGATAATGCCCTCTTGGCTGATAACATGGCCCAAAAATCTAACATCGGATAGCCAAAACTCGCACTTGCTGAACTTAGCGTATAACTGATGCTCCTGCAAAGTTTGCAAAGCTAAACAAAGATGTTGCTCGTGCTCTGCCTCCGATCTCGAATAAATAAGGATATCGTCCATAAACACGATCACAAACTGGTCTAAATATGGACGAAAAACCCGGTTCATCAAATCCATGAATACCGCGGGCGCATTGGTCAGCCCAAATAGCATGACAAGAAACTCGAATGACCCATATCGAGTCAGAAATATGGTCTTGGGAATATTTATCTCCCGAATCCGTAACTGATGATAGCCAAAACGAAGATCAATCTTCGAGAAATGTTGCGCTCCCTGCAGTTGATCGAACAAGTCATCGATCCTCAGTAGTGGATACCTGTTCCGGATAGTGATATTGTTTAACTCATGATAATCTTTGCCTAATCGCATGCTACTGTCCTTCTTTTTCACGAAAAGGACTGGCGCTCCTCACGGAGAATTGACTCCGATAAATAAAACCCTGAGATAAAAACTCATCTAACTGGATCTGGAGCTCCCTCATCTCAGCAGGCGCCTTACGATAAGGTGATCGGGATATCGGTGTTGTGCCTGGCTGCAACTCGATGCAAAACTCAACCTCTATCACTGGAAGTAAATACAAAATGTTCTGGAAGACATCCTGATATTCTGAGACCACTCGCGTATCGCTCAAATCGACACCCCGATCCTGCATAATGGAGGAGATGAAAAGTGATGATCAAGATATAAAATCCATGGAAAATGATATGAAAATAAAATTTGATAAATATTAGGAATGTTACAGTGTTATTTTGTCATTTGCAGTCATTTTAGGCCCCCGATACAAGGTGAAGTATGTAGAGTTTTGTTTTGAGAAATTAGGAGTTAGTTCTGATTATGTGTTGACTATCTTAGAGAAACTGAGAAGTCTTTACAAAGAATACGAGCGAGCATCTCTAGGTACATCTATAGCTGAGAGCAGTGGTGAAGAGAATTTTGGAGATGTTCCTAATGATGAGATAGTTGAGTTTGAACAGTTTGAGAGTTAACTATATTCGGTCAGTGGGTCCAAGTCGCAGTTAGAAGAGTATCTAGATGAAAAATTAGTCAGTTGGAAGAAAAATGATCATTTGAATATTCTCGAGTATTGGAAAGGCGAATGCGAGAAGCGTCCTTAGTTGTCGATGATGGCTCGAGATATATTGAGTATTCCTATTACTTCAGCGGCCTCTGAATTGACTTTTAGCATTGCGGATCGTGTGCTTGACAAATATCGAAATCGTCTTCTTCCGGAGAATGCTGAAGCTCAAATTTGCACTGGTTCTCGGTTAGACGGGATTTCTTGTGAGTTGCCTTTTTTTCTTATTGCTTTTTTGTATTGTTGTTGACTACATATTTTATCAAAGAATATTAATATTATTTTTTCCTATTAAATGCATCTCTGACAGAAATTGAATAAGGAAATTTATTAGTACATGATTTTAGTAATCTAGAGGATTCTGAATCGGAAGGCAAAAGTGATTAGCGTTGTAATTCATTTACTTGCTAATCATTTGTTCTCATATAGTTCGGTACGTGCCTTTTATTTATATTTAAATCTTTGACCCTTCTTGACAATGTATTTCACTGAGCAATTTTATCATTTTAGAAATCTTATTTGGACCGGGTTCCTGTTTCTTACATTTCACTGGATCCGAAGGAGTGAAACAACACCGAGTACAACCTGGAGACCTTTACAACAGTATGCAGATTTGTACATCTACCGAAGTTCATCTAGGATACAGTATGCAGCCTTGAACAATATCGGTATATGCTACAGTATGCAGATTTGTACATCTACTGACCAGTCTGATGAATTTTGATGCCATTGACTCTACTGCTAACTGACGGCGTTGGTGATTCTTTTTTCTTAATTTTTTTTAGCAAAGACCCCTGAGTTATTACACAAAAACACACAGCTATGTTTGCAAAAATACCCCACAACCCATGATGCATCTTAAGGGGAGTAGTGGAATTTCATGGGGTTTAAAGAAATCATAATCCCGATCATGCCTTGCCAAGCAAACCAAACATGAGACTTGGTGATATTCCAAAACATCGAAATCCCAATCTCAATCCCAGGAGGAAACCACATGTTGAAATTTCCACAGTTTTAACTTTGATAGCCAAAGTTTTCCCCAAAAATATCCTAAAGTTAATAATTAAAAAAAACTTATACCCTAAGGTACCCTTTGGCAAAGGGTTAAGTGAGGGGCTAAGAAAACTTTAACCTCTTTTTAACCCGCCAAACACAAAAAATCTATACAAGGGTTAAAGTGAGTCAACCGTTTATAATTTGTCAAACATAAAAAATATAGAAGGGTTAAGCTAACCCCTCTAGAGGGATTAAAATGAGTTAACCCCTCAAAATGAGGGGTTTACTAATTCTCCTATTTAGAAGGATTAAGAGTTAACCATTCTAATTATAAAGAAAATAGTCAAAATCATTGTTATTCCCAAACACTAAAACTGATCAAAAGGGCTAAAATAAAACTTATTTAACGGGTTAATAATTTAGTCCTTTAGATTATCGAATGGGTTAAGTACATTAATCCCTCTATTTAACCCCTCTTCCTTAACCTTTTGTCAAAAGAGGATAAATGGGGGTTAAGTGGGTTTAACCCTCTATTAGCTTGCCAAACAGAAAAAAGAGGGAAGGGTTAACAAACCCGCACGTGAACCAGTTAGCCCATTTAACCCGTCATAAGAAGGGATAACTATTCCTCATAAGAAGGCGGAACAAGGCTTGTTCCGCCTTCTCACGCGAGGGTAGGTGGCAGAATTTTTTCATCTCACGACTTATTTCCTCCTCAAATCCCCAGAAATGGCCACTCCTTCGATTTTCCTCTTTCTCTACCGAAACCCAAAGTCCTCAACCTCCGATTTTCCTCGACCTAGCGAGATCTCGTTTCATGCCAAGGTCGCCAACTACGTGTACCTTGTGGGTCCCTTGTCATGCCAATCCAGCTCCACACCTTGCCCAATGGTGTCTTCGCCTTCTCATTCCTCGTTCACGAGAGAACGAAGAAGGGTTCACCTCAGTTATGATAAAAAAATCTATTCAATTTAATCTCAATTGCTTCTATTATAATTGGTTTGTTATTCATAATAATTAGTTGCTAATTGTTGTGAGTAATTAAGAAAAATATTACTTGAAATTGGGAAGTAATTTAGTTAGTCATAATAATCACTTGCTTGTTACTAGGAATTTTGTGAATCATATTAAAAAAAAATCTAATTTTGCAATAGCACAAGTTAATGTTGAATTAGTTGGCTCGTAGCTATGGGATTTACTAGTATTGAGTCCAAAATGTTGGATTGTGATAAATTACTAGAAGGGCACACAACTATCAATAACCTTTCATTCAATCCCACCTAAATCGTTATGGAGGCTTCACCTATAAATGTGGAAGCAAATTTCTTTCTTTGTCGATTTGATTTCTTTTCTGTGAGAGAGGAAAAGAATTGTATTTGTGTTATCTATATTTTCCCCTGCAATTAAATTATTTTGTTAGTTCACTTTGTTTCCTCCTTTGGCTGGGTATGCCTCCCTACAGCAAGTTGACCATTTTTTTTCAAACGTCCCTTCTTGCAACAATAGTTTCTTACTTCAATGAATTTTAGGTGATTTTTAGTTCTTTTGCAACTTCTGTGAGATGAAACTTTTGTCTAACTGATGTTAAGCTAGGTTGTGGTCGTGCTTAGTACAAACTTTTTTAACTCATGTCAATATTTTATTTCAATCCTAAATATTTATTTGTTTGCAACTTGTAAAAATAATGCGATTCATGGGAAATGTCTAATTTTTTTTTGTTTTTGATGAGGCAATTATTTATAGGGGCGAAAGTAATATTGTTTTTTAAAAAATAATAAGATTAATCTTCTTAATCCCTCTTCATTTGCCAAAACACAAAAAACTTAACCTCGTCTTAACTATCGTATCCAAATAGGTTTAGAATTTTTTTAACCCTTCACGATAGATTAACTAAGTTAACCCTTCTCTTTAATCCCTCCTCCTTAACCCTTTACCAAACGGAGCCTAAAGGAACTTTATATGGGCTATCAATTTTTTTTTTTTTTTGAATCATCTGAATAATTTTTTGGCAAAACAGAACTCGACAAAGATGTAAACAATGTGTCAACTTCGGGTTATTTAAGTGCAGATAACCCCGAAAAAAAACTTAAAGCAGCTCTGTTTCTTACATCCTTTTTTTGGCGTAACCGTTTCTTACATCATTGACAGAAAAATTTACAAATCTTCAGCAACGAAGCTCTCTGATCATGATTTTTGTGTCAACAGGATAGAAAAACTTAAATCCTTCTACTAGATAGAACAAACAGGAACGATAACAGACGGAAGAATTAGTATTACATGGTGAACTTAAAATCTAGAAACATGGTGATTTAACGATATTACAATTCATCGATCCGTGAGAAACAAGGCGGCCTAACAGGATACATCAGCCCCAGAAAGCATGGTACTTAAGAAACAAGACTGCCGAACAGGATACACAGGCCCCAGAAAGCATGGTACGGGCGTAAATATACCACTCATCTAACCCATACTCTGCTACTTGCGTTTTATTACATCACCAAACTTTGCAATAGAGAATAATATGATGTTTTGGATCGTGTAACTGTAAATGATATCCCAAGCAAAAGGAAAGATGGACCTCACCCAAAAAAAGGCCCTTCCCTTGAGCCACCAAAGCTCCATGAGCACCAAAGTTCCAAAAGGACCTTCGGCCAACATAAAATGGTTGAAATTTGTTAACAGCATGCTATTACACTAACCAGATAATAATATTTTGACTAAAATAAATAAATTAATGAGAAACAAACAAGTTACTTTAAAATCTTTAATTAATCCCTTAATCTTGGTCCCTTAATATCTTTTTGAAATTACCCCCTCAAATCATTGTAGTTGCTATTAGGTCCCCAATTCTCAAGTTATTTTAAAATTAGCCCTCAAATCATTTAAATTGCTATCACGTTCTCTCAAATAATCAAAATTGTTCATAGGTCTCCCAATTCGCATAAGCTGCCTCAAATTAATCCCTCCATTGCTACTTCTACTCTTCTACTCTTCATTGGAGGGATTAATTTGAAAACAACTTATGATAATATAACTGGGGGACCAAATAGCAATTTTAATGAATGGACAAATTTTGAAACAACTTTAAGAATTGGGGGACCGAATACCAATTTCAGTTATTCGCGGAACTAATTTCAAAATATTCAAGATTTAATGTCGGAAAACCCAAAAAGATATTCAAGGCAAAAAATGGCATACAATTCTCAAAAACATGTTTGAGAATCCTTCCAGTCTAATCGGACCTTCTGGGGCTGTGAACGCTTCCTTGTAGATGACAAGGTAACTTTCGCAGTTGTAAGTTAGTTTGATTCTTATTTTTAAGCGATATCTCACAAAGTTCCAATTATTGTGGATTCGAAGTTGAACAAAAATATTCAAGAACTAGCTAATCCTACATGCATCAGCTTACCAGTTAGCCTACTATAAGGGGGGTTTCGGATTGGCTACGTCAAATCTGGGAACTTCCAATCTATACCCATTCCACTGATATTTGAAACTGTAATGTTGGTCTTAAGGAAAATAGAAGTCACGCAACTAAACATAGTTCGATTAAATGAGACCATGAGAAAGAGAAATACCATGTTCACTGAGCTGGTGCAGCATCAATTAGCAGTGGTTCACCAGCTTTCGTCAAGCATATTGAAACTCTGGCTCATCAAAGCCATCTCCGTCATAGTAAGCAAAATTAACGTCATGGAAACCCTCATTTCCACTTCCTTGATCACTGCTATAGCTACTATTAAGTGGGCTAGCATACTGTGGACTCAGTTCCCCATTACAAATATCCAAGCTGGAACCACTACTTATATCACTATCATTGGCCTGCTCAATATCCATGAAGCTGCAATATTCATAGAATAAATTAGATATAGTCATCAGGTAATGTTTCCATGCTCAAAGAAATCATGAGAGCTAACCTTCCATCAGGGGGGAAGTTGGCAAGTAAGCATAAGCCCGGCCTTGCTTCCCGAACTCGTAAAATCTCAGTACTGCTGCAGGTGAACAAATAAGTTATCAAGTACTTGAAGTTTGAAATGGATTTGTTAATACTAACTAGTTACCTGGGATTGTAGCACCTCTCGTTCCAGTCTTCCTCAGAAGAAAGTCCATCCTTGTTAGATACGTCCTGTTTAGAGGCCAATATCCAAGTATATTATAGCTTTTCTAACTTTGAGTATAGATAAAGTACAGATGGTTTTTCTCAAGTGGAAGCTTCCTACCAAATATCTTAGTAGTTTGCAGTCACCACCAAGAATTGCCAATAAGAAATTAGAGATTTCCACCTGCATTAATATGTATTAGATAGAAAGTAACATACATGGATGTATGGAAATAAACTTAGTGAAGATGTGTAAAAATTTTGGTGGTCTTGACTTCTCACTTCTTTGAGATGCAAACAGTCGCGCAAAATCAGGACCTCCAGTGCTTGAGCATATGCACCACTTCCAAGGCTCCTAAACAACTTAAGTTGTGAAATAGAGCTCAAGAACAAGAATACAGCATCAAGATGAAAAGGGGGAGAAGGGCAACAAAACAAACAAAAGAAGGAAAGGGAAACCTATTGATCAAATTGGCAAATCCTGAAATGGATTATGGAGTAGCTGAATCAAACCTCAAAAAGATACCAGTGATTGAGAATGATGTTGAAAAATCAGCAACTCTCAGGCAGCGAAATCCCTACACAGTGGGGGAAAAGCCCTTTGATCAAAAATTCAAAGATCAAAAATCAAACCTGATAAAGTTATCTAACATTAAATACCCCTCATGACAATCAAGAAAAATGGGAAAAAAACAGCTATGTTCAGAAATCATAACTGATTTGTTTTTCCAATTACATAGGTTTGAAAGAGATTTTTATGCTGTTTCTCAGTAACTTAACATTGCTATGATCTAATATGTGCTTACCTAGTATTCCCATGACCACATCAATTAAGCAAGCATAGGGCAACTACTTTAGGCATATCCAGCAATGAAATAAGAAAGAAGGTTTACCTTAACCAGTGTCCGAACTTTACTATCATGAAGCTTGAACCCTCTGAGTGCAAGGGATCTTACATGAGGACAACCATTTACCAGATCAGTACAGGCAGCAGAATTCAAACTATCATCTCTTCCTGACAAGAAAAGTATTTGAACTTAGAAGTAGAGGTAGAGATTAGAAAGAAAAAATTGTCGAAGGAAGATAGTACACCTGCATCAGAGGACTCAATGAATAACCGCTCAATGGAGTGACAGCTTGTGCTCACTGCATCCAATGTTCTCTTTAGCTCGACATGGCTGTTAATGTAATTAAAGTCAATCATCTGAAGTATAGTTAGACTCAGCACCTGCTTCAGTAACCATAAACTAAATCCCTGAGATCTAAGATATGTAAGGACATCATAGTTAAGTCAAATATGGAAAGACAATGTACAACTGTGCATCCTATTCCCCTTCGGCGTCATCAATTACCTACTGTATATTACTCAGTCTAAAATTTGCTGAAAAAGACTCATCAATAAAATTACAGTAGTCCAGATGAGTTTGTTTCCTACCACATGTCACACGACCTTCCTAGGCATGTATAATTCATTTGCAATTATGTAGTAACAATCAACACCCTCAAATGCAGTCTAACCAGGAGAAAAAAACGTCATTAAAAGTTTCCTTACTGAGAAATGGATTGACCTTAAATATCACCACTTGTTCAACTACACCTGAAAGGAATGAACAAGGATGAACACAGAACAGCATATATCCAGTACAATCCCACACTACTGGTTTTAATGTGACTGAGAGATTAATTCCCAGCAAGGTCCCTTTGCCAAAAAAAGGGCATTTATAGACATCCAATTCACTCATCAACCCATCCTAAAGTTAATTATTATGAATGACATTATCAACTCGATTCCTACATGTTCCTCAGAACAAAGCATATAACCCAGTTGTACACAGTAATAACTAGGTAGCAGGGATTACAAATCATCCATAAGCTAAGAAAATTAAGGAGCTCAAAGTTACCTACACGAGCTTATGGAAAAGTAGGGGAGAAAACCTTGTTGTCAGATGGTACTGACTTGTCCAAGACTGAATGAAGACGAAAGGTTTTGAATAATCTAACATGCTGTGAATGGAAATGGATAAAAGGTGGACTGACAGTATAGTTACCGAAAAAAATACAAATTAGAAAGCAGTCAGGATCATGGAATTCCATAGAAGCTATTAGAGTCTCCTATGATCACTAATTTAGAATAGTAAGCTTTTTAGTAGACACATTTACAGTATATAAATGGCACTCTCAGCCAAGCAGTTCACACGCCAATAGTTTTGCGTTTCAGCAGGTCTTCAGATAGCTTAAGAAAATAAACAAAGACTGCCACCGCTGAAGAAAGAGCTTAAAAAAACACTGCTATACTTACAGGCCAACAACTTCCAGATCAAGGAGAGATTGGCATGCAAATAATGCAGTGCAAAGAGCATGACTGTCCATTTTGTCAATGTTGTATAGATGCAACCTTCTCAAGAGAGCCCTTCAGACATAAAATAGTAGATATAATAAATAGAATGAGGGTAATCAGCTACTAAAAGTTGAAGGCACATTTGTCCTACCCTGCAGCACCACCATCCAGACTTAAAGCCAAAAGGCAAGACCTTGTAAGAACAGATGACTCTCTCCCTTGTCTCAGTCTCCTTTCATTCCGTGACAGACTTGGAGCACCCATGAGATTTCTAGAGGAATATGACATGCATCTAGCAAACTCTGACAACGAACTTGGAGTAGGCAATATCCCAAGCTTAAGTGACCTGATAATAGAGACATGAGCAGTTAGAAGATTCTATAAAGGAGTCCGGAATGACAGACTCAAGCATATTTCCAGGTGTACATGACACAGATGATTATGTACAATAAACAATAATAAGCAATACAAAAAAAACGACCCCTTTCTTTAGGAGAAAGATATCTTTTTCAGTTCCTTTAAACAAGTGCAACAAAAGTGAAAATCATACAAGCTCCTATGTGGATCCGAACATGATATTTGCACAACGCCCATCATATGTCAAGGATTCTACGGGTATGATTCATAAAGTAAGTTGAACAAATATCCTCCAGCCCTCAAGATCCCATATGTTATATAAGAGTTATTACCAATTTTGGAGCCACAAAATTCATGCTGAGAGAAAGAGGGGTTGGGGTGGGTGCAGACTGCAGAGACACTGTTGGTTGCTTAAGGAAACAAAACAAGTGAGATACGACACTAAACCTGCACACCCTTGTCATTTTGCAAACAACATAGTTAAGATGAATTTGAATGCTCTTGATCATGGAATCACCTATTAATTAATAAAACTACTGTCTTAAAATTTTTTACTCATTTATGCTATGACGGACATTTTCTAGTAAGACGCTTTGGATTTGTATCTCTAACAACAACCGAACATGAGTACTTAAAATTCCATTTTGTATAAAAATTTTCAGCTAATGGCAGAAATTTCAATGGATGTTTTTGTGTTCTTGTGTGTGGTTATCTTCGCCCTTTTTGCACAACATACTTAAGATGCATTCCGATCCAGATTACAACATCTATACTAATATAAAAAGAGGATTGCGGTGTTAAAACTTTTAATTTCCTGTTTTACCCTCTTAAATTTTGACAAATTCTACTATGCCATTATCTCTAATTAATCTTTCATTAAATAATATAACCACTTCGCCTTCCTAAATAATTATAATTATCAATAATATTAACTATTAATTGTTTAAAAATAATACAATAAAATAATTTATAAAATAAGTATACATATTGTCAGTAGTAACCAACAAAATTATTATAATAGTATAAATAGAATAATATATTATTAAATATTATTAAGAATTATAGTATAATTCAATGAGCAATAAAATAAATAGAATAATATTTGAACTCCATAGATAGTGTGATTATTTTGAAAATATCTCATAAATTACGAATTACACTATTTATTTAGTATTATATTATTAAATAAATAATTTAATATTATTTTTAGAGTATTTTCTCAAAGATTACCACATGATATTGAATAATCTATACTTGGTAATGATTGAAAACTAAATCTTTTAATTAATATTAATAATAGTGCAATAATTGTTAATGATATTATAATAAAATTTTATATTATATTTATAGTAGTAAATTATTTAAGACCATAATTTTAAAAATTAAATTAGATAAATATTTTATAGTACATAGACAGTATAATTATTTAAATAGCATTACTTGAACTAATAATTATAATAGTAAATAAGGTAAATTACAATAAACCCCCATGCCTTTTTTGTCCTCTCAAATTTTGATAAATCCTACTATGTCATTATCTCTAATTAATCTTTTGTTAAATAAATATAACCTCTTACTAATTATGCACCCCCTCACCTTCCTAAATAATTATAATTATCAATAATATTAACTATTAATTGTTTAAAAATAATAAAATAAAATAATTTATGAAACAAGTATATAGATTATTAGTAGTAACCAATTAAATTATTATAATATTTATTTATGAATTATAATAAAATAATTAAAATAATAGTATAAATAGAATAATTTATTACTAAATACTATAAGAATTATAGTATAACTCAAGAAGCAATAAAATAAATTTTGAACCTCATAGATAGTGTAATTATTTTAATAATATCACATAAATTACGAATTATACTATTTATTTAGTATTATATTATTAAATAAAAATTTAATATTATTTTAATAGTATTTTCTCAAAGATTATCACATGATACTGAATAATTTATACTTGGTAATGACTGAAAACTAACCTTTTTATTTAATATTAATAATAGTGATATATATGTTAATGATATTACAATAAAAATTTATAAAATATTTATAGTACTAAATTATTTAAGACCATAATTTTAAAAATTAAATTAGATAAATATTTTATATTATATAGATAGTATAATTATTTTAATAGTATTAATTGAACTAAGAACTATAGTATTAAATAAATAAATTATAGTAAACCCCCATGCCTTTTTTGCCCTCTCAAATTTTGAAAAATTCAAAGGTAAATTATAGTAAAACCACTATGAACTTTTAGCATTTTACAGTAAATAGACCCTATGAACTTTCGAAATCACACTAAATCCCTAATAACTTTTATAGAAAGCCCCCAGTATCTTTTAGATAAATTACACCAAACCCCCCAATAACTTTTAAAATGTCTTTTTATGCCATTTTATGGTTCTCATTTATAGGGGTTATTTGCAAAATTCAGAAAGCTATTAGGGGTCTTCTTTGAAACAGAAAAGTCATTAAGGGTTTTGTGTAATTTTTAAAGTTCATATGGGCTGAAAGTTCATATAGATTTAGTGTAATTTACCCTATTAAATAATCACAATGAGAAGTAACTATTGCAATATATTGTAGGTATTAAGTATAACTATAACTATCTAAGGAACGTTAGGAAAAAAAACTAATACAGCTTAGTAAGTTAAATTAACACAGCTTAGTAAGTTAAATTAACAACTTTTAAGTTGGAGGGGACATATGTAAGAGAATTTATAGAATTAACAGTTTTATTTAAGAACAATTTTAGATTTGGGGACTTATTTAGAAAAAGGTTAAAACTGGGCGATCATTATAAGTAAAACATTCAATTACAATAACTACACAATAATAATTAATTCATATATTTCTTTTTAAGCAATCCTATCATACAGTTTTATTTATTAACATATAGTTTTACTATTCAATAAAACTTTCAAAACTTAAAACATATAAGTTCACGTGCAAAGCACGTGCATTATACTAGTATAATAAAACACATCAAAACTCCACCTAAACATCCATGTAGATGTACTTTGGATTTCATTACAATTTAACAGCTCGATATTGAAGAAGTACACATATCGACTGAAATATGTGCATGTCAAATTCATTGTTACTTGGTTGCTTGTAATAAAACCTCAAGTAAAAAAGGCTCTAACAATCCAATAATAGGACATCATAGTCGTACAATCACAATGTCTGCATCAGCTTAACCACAGTCTTTTGTTTAAACTTCCTAGATATCTACAAAATTTTCAGAATTTTAATGGAAGCTAAATCACAGGAAAAAAAATCATGAGTTCTGAAGCTTTTTCAAGCGGCTATTATTGACCATTTTTTTTAAAGAAACTGTCGTGATGAATAGATCCTTTCAGAAGAAAGCTCTCACAACTCCATTAATCCAATACTTATCACATGCCTAGAATAGGCTAAATGGCCTAAGTTGATAAATTAACCATCTAAAGTAGTTACAAATTAAAAATACACCTAAAATAAAAGTAATAAATAATGAATTTGTAAGAAAAATAAAGAAAATTCCAAAAAAAAGTCATCATCAGAAATTACAATAATAGAACCTTTATCCAAATTTTTATGATTGACTACATGAGTCCTATTTTTTTCACTCAGTTTTGTTAAAGGTTATCTCCTCCACTAGAAATTGTTATTTGTTTTAGTTGATATTATTCTTATTATAAAGGGTTAGTCGATGATTTGAACTTATTACCGTCTAGTTTTATTTTTGCAAACTGAGAGTAAAAGAGTCAAAAAATCACTCAAGAGGTCTATCTGCAATAATAAAACTAAAGGGGTAGTAACTTCAAAACAAATACTATAGGGGGTGTATCCGTATTTAACCCTATAATAAAACTACTACTACAGGGGGTGCATCTGCATTTAGTCCTATAATAAAACTACTAGGGATGAGTCACCATTTAACTATGAGTAATCACTTCTTTAACAATTCATAACAAACAAAGAACCAATTACCAAATTACACATTAACTTAATCATTAATAAAATCATTTTTCCTATTCATAAGTTAGGTAAGTAGTCATCATTAAACAGTAACTCTCTCCATTAGAAGATATAAACTACTCCCACATTTTATAACAATTTACAAAAAAATGTTTTAATTCTTAAAATCAGTCAATATTATTCCTTGCCGGCTTAATTATTTGACAATTGTTACAAAATATAGCAATCAATAAATAACATTAAAAAAATTGTCCATTTTGTTCCTCTTCCCTCTCATCCATAATCCTATCTTAACCGTAACACTAACCCAAACCCTGACGATTACCAAAAACATATTTCTTTAGCCTAACACTAACACCATCACCAAAAAGGCAGCAGAGAGAAGCAAGGAGGAGACAGTTGGCCCAACACGGTAAAATCATCAGAGCAAGGTTGCAACTATCAAGAAAGCCTTTTGTGACGGAGCAAGGCCACCTCCGAAGCCAGAAGATAAACAGCCAAGAGAGGAGGGAGGAGACCTTTTCTAATAAAGAAATCGGCTCGGCCCGGGAAAGCACTGGCAACAACTAGCAGTGAGATTCATGGTAGCAGGAAGATAACATAATAGAGAGGAAGAGACTTCAGAACAAAATGGTGTGAAAGGGTCCTCAATTGTGAATCACAGTATAATGGATAAATTGTGTAAATAGTTCAATTTTTTTCCTCCTCCAACTTAAAATGATTAAAAGGGAAAATCAGTTAATTAAAAGCTATATTAATGATCATACGCTATTTTTCTGCGGAATATAAAAATCAATGGTAATTGCTGAACAAAAAGTGAGGGAAAAAACATCAAAAATCATGGTAGTTTAAAGACAATCTCTAGTTAAACAACTGGAAGGTAATATGATAGCAGGTGTGTTGTACTGTATTGTGATAATGCATGTCCAGATGAATTTGCATATTGCAGATTTGACCAGGCTATTTCAACCCTCTATTAGTGAAGTTTCACAACTCTTAATCTGTGCCAGACTTCATAATCTGAATTTTAGCTGATATTAAATGAATTAACAGTTTGAAAATAAAAGGACTAGGTCTCATGCATAAGACGCAGTCATTTTGAACATTCAGGACAGCGTGGTTAAAATATAGAATATCTTTTTGAGAGGTGATAAAAAACGGAATAAGAGGGAGCTTGTTAGTGGAACAAGCGGCACAAATAAACACAAGAATGGAAGTTATTCACCTATTCATTTTAATAAAAAACAAACATAAAAAACAAAAAATTGAACAATGCAAAACTGGACCAGTAGCATGTTTACTAAACATAGGATAAAAGAATCTCACTGAAGATTTCTCCCTGCTCGCTGTATCATTGTAGAGACAACCGTATTATTAACTTTTGGGACAATGGCAGTCAAGTCGATATCAGCATAGCACAGAGGATCTGTTGCGCACTTGTTGAACAATGAGCAAGCTGCTGCAGCATGGCAAAGACTTTGGGTATCTAACATGGAGAATACCTTCAAACCACCATTATCCATAAATTCATTATCTGTGCTCCTCCATTATAATAAAAACATCAAGGTACAGTCATCAAGTGAAAGTGCTATAAATTTGAAGATCACTTCATGATATATAACAATATTTCAAAAGGAAAGTAGAAATAGCAGAGATAAGCCCAGAGTCTGATGTCCCTAGTTTCATCATGAGGAAAAAGAACAGATCAAAGGAATAAATAAATCAAATGAGTATTACCAGGTAGGTAGATAAAGGAAGGAAAAATACAAGGGAAACATGAAATTTTAATTCCAAAAAGTGCAAGAGAAAAGCATGTAAAACTATCAGCATCTCATTAGCCTGAAGTAACTGAATGAATACAAAAGGGCATATTACCATAGAGAACTACATAAAAACATGTTGTTTTAATTTACAATGATATTCAGGCAACAAAAGTTACAAACCTAAAAAGCTAAAATGAATTTGACATCAAATTTATGACAATAGAAAAATGAAAAAATTACTTGCCATAACCATAAATCATGGAAGGTATAATTTTTTTATAGTAGACAACACTGATACATCGAAGATGTATGTTAGAGAAAATAACAAAACGACGCCATCAAAGCAACAATATTGACCTCTAGGTAACATGGACACTTCGTTTTGGGTGTCGTATCCGTGTCCGACACCGACTCTCCGCGGACACTCCATGGACACTTGTGATTCAAAGAAAAACCCAATTCCCCATAACTTATACCATAAACTAATTTCTATGATAATATCAGGCTCAAAACCAATTGTTTTTTAACCCAAAAATTGAAACCCATTACTTATATTACTTATGGCATTCAATCTTCCTTACTTACCAGGCATGTCATAATTCCGGCACGCTGATAACTTGTTAAAAAAATACATCTCGAGGTATCCATTTTGCTTTGCCATTTGCTAATCATGTATTTCAATGTTCATGCTCCCAAATGATTCAAAATTTTCAATGATACTGCAAATCATTAAACATTTAAGCATTACAATCAACTATTCACATACAAAGCCCAAGCTTTTTATTCATTATTATCATTTTCTTTTCAAACAA